AGACCTGGGGGTGCTTAGAAACGTGCGGCAAGAGGCAGACTCTTCTCTCAGACAAAAGCATCCCCCTCATAAAGATCTCCACACAAGAATACACACAGACCACAAAGACTCTTCCCGGACACACGCAGACCCACACCCCCACACGGAGGACAGACACGCACACATCATAGGTACAGACCCCCAGAGATGCACTCTAACACACAGGCGACCCCACTTTAGCCGCCCCTCCCCTGGGCCTGAAGGACCCTGCTGCGGTCATTAGACCGCCAGTTCCAGAACTGGGAGAGTGGCGCAAACGCTAAGGGATCGCAGGACCGGGATTCAAGGATGGGAAACTTTTCTGAGAGCCCTGAGCGGCTGCCTGCACCCTGGGCAGCGTGGACTTGGGGGCGTGTTGACACCAGCTTCCACGCTCTCATCCCCTCCTTTCACGACTCAGACCCGCAGGACCCGGACACAGCAGCAGACACCTTCCCGCACGCCTCTCCTAGGATAGAGCAAGGCTCTCTAACCAACGCCACACAACGCGCGCGCGCGCGTTTCCAGAGATCGGACCCTAAAAAGGTGGGGCCTGTTTTTCTTCCTCTGCCCGGAACAGCTCGTCTCCTACTCTTTTCTCCAAGGCTGGACGGGGCGGGATGCTGGTCAGAAGGGAAGCTCAGCCCAGGCGTCTCAGACCTCTGTGGCTGGAGCAGGGCGTGTCCTCACAGGGCGGGGTCTGGCGTTCCCGGCTGGAGCGGTCCTCAGGTTCCCCCGGGCGGCACCTCCGGACAACGCGCTGGGGTTGGAAAGGAGGGTTTGTAGCGAGCTGAGGGGAGCGTGTGCTCCATGGTGACCACAGGTTTGCTTCCTTCCTATCCTGCAGGACCCCTGCACGCCCGCTAGGCTCAGGCCTGGTTTGGGTCTGGACTTGAAGATGCAACTCACCTTCCTCTCTGCCCCGGCCGTGTGCCCTGCTGCCCACCCCCCACCAGTAAAGAGACTCAGCTTCCCGGGATAGACATGGTTTATTGATTCGGACCATAGGCACCGCGGTGCAGCGGTCTGTTTGGCACTGGGAGGAACGCAAGGACAGACGCACGGCTCTACACGGGGCGCCCCGAGGGAGGGGGCGAGCGCCTCTTCCCCCTCTGCAAGGAGCACAACTGGCTTGGCTTGCCTCGGTGCCCCACACCCCAATGGACAAGAGGGAGAAGGACATGAAATGGGTCACTGGGAAGGGATATGGGCAGGGGGAGTCAAGGCTGAGGAGGGGCTGGGATAATCGCTAGAGGAGGCGGACCCGGAGCCTGAGCTGACCAGTGCTCTGGCAGAGCGGCAGTCACTTTGGCCCAAGGGAGGGGGGCGCCTGGAGGAGGAGCAGGGCTGCTAACTGCGGGTGTAGTAGTAGTTGTAGTCATCCTCGCACCCGTCAAAAGGGCCAGGTGGGCTGCAAGGCGCGCCGTCTGGGCCAGACACCGGACGCTCCCGTAAGCGCACCGCATCGTACAGACCCTGCGGTGGCTCGTCCAGCAGCACGTCGCGCTCTGAGCGGGAGCGCGTCAGGAGGCCCACGTTTCGCAGCAGAAGCAGAACCGGCGCATACAGCAGGTTGGCCAGGCCCATGCCAAGGCTGAGCTGCTCAAAGCCCAGCGAGTGCACAATGTGGCCCGCCACTATGGGCCCCAAAGCGTAGGCCACTGAATAGGAGATGTCGGCGATAGCGTAGACGCTGCCGTAGACTGAGACGTGGCGCACGTCCACTAGGAAAGCGAGAGTGGGCAACAGTGCTGTGTCCACTAGTGCTATGCCAAAGCAAAGGCCACAGAGCGAGACCACCAACGGCGCGAAGGAGCGGCACGCGGGCACAAGGCAGGAGCTGGCGCCGATCACAGCCAGCCCCAGGGCTCCATACAGCCACTGCAGGTGTGGGTAGCGCGCCGCCAGGCGCACTGTGAGGTAGACGCCCAGCACGTGCGGGATAAAAGCCGGCAGCCAGGCCATGCCCATCTCCCACTCGGAAGCTGCCATCGTGTGCTTCATCCACGTGGCGATGGTGGGCTCGAGAAAGGCTAGGGGAATATTACAGGTGGTGAGCGCGCCGGCTACCACAGCAATGTAGGGGTCTAGCATGAGGCGGTGGATGGGTGTGCCCACTGGCAGGTTGGCCCGTGCCCGAGCAGCGGCTGAGAATGGCTTGGCTACAGCTAGCAGCAACAGCGCATCGAAGAGTGACACAGCGGCGAGCACCAAGAAGGGCACGCGCTTGCCGGCGAACTCGTAGAGGATGCCCCCAAAGGGCGGCGCCACTAGGCTTCCGAAGCTAATGAAGGCCAGCGCCACGCCCAGCGCTCGACTGCGCTCTGGCTCCTCTGGATACTTGTCTGCAATCATAGCTATGCCGGACGTGTCCGCGAAGGCTGAGCCCAGGCCCTGTAGGCTGCGAGCGGCGAATAAAGTAGCGTAGTCTTCAGCGAAGGCGAACATGACCGTGGAGGCAAACATGACGCCCAGGCCGATGAGCAGCGGCACGTCGTAGCTCATGCGGTCGATGAAGGTCCCACTCAAAGGGTTCACCAGCAGCTGAAGGATGGCCTTGGAAGCAAACAGCACCCCGATCTTCACATCTTCGCTCTCCGTGGGGTATCGGGGCCGCAGGGCCGACCCAGCAGGCCACGAAGCCGTCGGGGACGCCGAGGTGTTGGACGTGTAGGCGCTGGCATTAGCTGAAGTGGGCAGCGGCAAGGTGGGCTCCCACACCTCAGGGGTTGGGGTGAGGCTCTCGCTGCCCCCGTGCATGTGGGCAATGTAGTCAGGCACGATGGGTACAATGACCATGTATAGCATGTTGTCCAGCAACAGTGCCACACACACGATGACCAGCAGCAGGCGCCGCTGCCGCCGTGGCTCCTGCAGCGCCGCGCCCACCGTCTCCGACAGCTTGGTGGCCGCTGCCCGGGCCTGGGCCGCCGGTGCCTCGGCTTCCATGCCCTCACCCTGCTGGCTCTTCCGAGGACGCCTCCACCGAGCTTGGGCGCGGGCGTCCGGTAGCGCAGAGACTAAGGCACGAGACTTTGGGGGCGCGGTCCTTGCTCGAGAGGCGGCCCCTGTGCCTCAGGTGGCCGTGCGGCTCATGGCCCCAAGCCCCGGGAAAGGAAAGGACTCCGTCTGGCGAAGAGCCGCGGCTGCTCTTAGCCGATCCCGGGACCTGTCTCCGCTGGGCTCAGGGGCGGCCAGGAAGGCGGGAGCTCCAAGAGGCTGGAGCGGGAGTCTGGGCGCACTGCGCCCGGGGCGCACCCAGAGCAGCCCCCGCCGCGCTGAGAGGCCGCCCGCGCTGGCCGAGGGGCATGCTGCTGCCGCCCGCCTGCTCGCCCCGCCGCCGCGCTCCCCTCCCCTCGCGTCGGCTCTTGCCTCCTCCGCTGCTGCTTCTTTTTTTCCCTTCCACTCGGGGCTGTGACGCGACGAGTCCCAGCCCCCGAGTGGTGCCCGGGCCACTTGCGTCGCTCATGCTAATGCGACGTCGGCGGGGAGGAGGCTGGGGGCGGGGCGGAGACCGGGGGCGGGGCGGGGCCGGGCAGGGGTCCGCTCGCCAGATAAGCCAGGGCTGGAAGCCAGAGGAAGGGGTTTTGGTGAGGAAGAGTCCGGGACCCTGGGGATGGGTGCGCGGTGCTCGGAGCAGACCCTCTATCGGCCCCCACCTCCGGGTCTAGGACCTGCGGGCTCAGCGCCGGCTGGTCTCCTCCTGAGAAGGGGGAGCGGCAGCAGGTTCCCGCGGCCCCTCGGGAGAGTGGATAGCCAGAGGGGGGAGCCGGGGGCTTGAGATCTCCGCCTCAGCCAGGATCTCGGTGCACAGCGGGCAGGGAGCCCCTGAGGTGAGCCGCGGCTGCATCCATCTGTTCTCGCAGCTGGATTGTGGAGCCACGCGATCCAAGAGGCACAGGGCGGTGACCCCCAACCCATCCTTTCTCCCCTTCCCGTCCCTTCCCCCCGCCCCTGAAAGGATGGGGCGGCTCACAGACTCTTGGGCCTGGTTGCGACCCTGGCACTTCGGCAGAATGTCACAGTAGCAAATTTGCCACTATGAGCATGTGGGAATTGAGGGGAAAAGTTGCTTCGCCCCCCACCCGGGGCCTGGAGTATCAGCCCAGCCCCTTCCATCCTCCCGCACTGCCTCCCCACACTCCCCCTGCCTAGACTCCCCCTTTCCTCGTTAACAGTCCTGGTCCCCCAGCTCCGCCTCTTCTTTCTTCGCTCCTCCTCACCCCCTCCCCACCCTGACTCCTCCCAAGCCCTGTGGGTTCCAGACAGGGCCTTTCCTCTGCTACTGCGAGCCTCCGCCCTCTGTTCACTTCCCTCTCCTCATCTCCAGAGCTGCCACCAAGCCCTAGGTGGGCTCGAGAGTAATACGAGTGGGTCTTCTTATGAAGCTGTAAGCAATCCTGCGTGGGTGCAGCGCCCACTCCCTGGACGGGGCCCAGGAGCTCTGCTGCCACCAGAGACTCAGGGGAAGCTCCCCTTCCATGAGCGCCGCACCTGCTAAGGCCCGCGG